CTGGGTAAGTTACAGAGAATATTAGCCCCTGTGTATATGACAGAGAAAGCAGTCCCTATATATATTCTAGAGAATATTAGACCCTGTGTATATTATAGAGAATACCAGGCTCTGTGTATATTATAGAGAATAGTAGGACCTGTGTATATTATGGAGAACAATATTCACTGTTGATATTTTTGCGAACAGCAGCACGTGTGTATATTGTAGAGAATAAAGCCCCTATGTATAGTATACAGAAGAGCAGCCACTGTGTATGGTATAGATAGCCGACCCTATTTACATTATAGAGAACAGCAGCCCTGTGTATATTAATGAGAACAGCAGCCCCTGCGTGTATTATAAAGAATATTAGCCCAGGTGTATATTACAGAGAATAGAAGTCCCTGTGTGTACTATAGAAAATACCAGGCCCTGTATATATCATAGAGAACAGCTATCCCTGTGTATATTATGGAGAAAAGCACTCACTGTTGGTATTATTGAGAAAAGCAGCCCTGTGTACGTTATAGAAAATAGCTGCCCCTGTGTATATTATCGAGATTAGCACACTCTGTGTATTTTATAGAGGATAGTACTCCCTGTGAATATTTGAGTCACAGAGATGTACAGCACAGAAACAGACCCTTCGGTCCAACTTGTCCGTGCTGACCAGACATCCTAAATTATTCTAGTCCCATTTGCCAGCATTTGGCCCACATCCCTCTAAACCCTTCCTATTCAGGTACCTCACCAAATGTCTTTTAAATATTGTAATTGTACCAGCCTGCACCACTTCCTCTGGCAGCTCATTCCATATACTCGCCACTCTCTGCATGAAAGTGTTGTCCATTCGGTTATATCTTGCCCCTCTCACCTTAAACCTATGCCCTCTAGTTTTGGACTCCCCTACCCTGGGAGAAAGACCTTGGCTATTCACACTATCCATGCCCTTCTCTATAAAGTCAGCCGTCCGATGCTCCAGGGAAAATAGCCCCAGCCTACTCAGTCTCTCCCTGTAGGTCAAACACGTCAGCCTTCCTGCTCCTCTGATGCTGCCTGGCCTGCTGTGTTCATCCAGCTCCACACGGTGTTAACCTCAGCAACATCCTCGTAAATCTTTCCTGCACCCTTTCAAATTTAAGAACATCTTTCCTATACCAAGGAGACCAAAACTGAATAGCAGTCCCTGTGAATATTATAGAGAATAGCGCTACCTGTTGATATTATTGAGAACAGCAGTCCCT